AAATAGTGTTGCCAGAGATGGCAGACGCCTCACTGGGCCGCAAAACGCACCGGCCGAGCCGAGCCGTGCCGAGCCGAGCCGAGTTTTAGTAGTTGCCTTTTTGCTTATATTCAAATGCAGAAGCGCATATTGTGACAGCCGCGGTATGTGTGTGCGTGTGTGTGTGTGGGTGTGTGTGTGTGGGTGCATGTGTGTATGCGTGTGTGTGTGCCTCTGTCCGGATATTTCAACTCGGAACCAAAGCAAGCTCTGGCGCCAAAATTTTGCCGGTGGGTTGCCCGGTCAAGTGCCGTGCCACCCCAGGACCGCGGTACCAGCCCTCACACAAGTCTGGGCCCCGCATACGAAGGGATGAAAGTTTTGGTGGGAAAATCGTTAACTCGGGAACTAAAAAATTTAGAAAGTCGAAATTTTGATGTTATGTCACCCGTCCACGCACAACTCAAAGATTTCAAATTCAGCCCCCAGGTATGCATGCTTCCCGCTTATGGCTCCGTGAGGGTTCCTGGCGCGAAAATCGCTAACTCGGGAACCAAGAAAGCTGGGAAGCTGAAATTTTCAGCGATTGTTTTTAGTTCAATGAACAGATTAAATTTATAAAATTCAGCTCCCGAGCATGCGTGGTTCTCACTTCCGGCCCCGTGAAAATTTTTGGCGCGAAAATGGCTAACTCGAGAACCAGGAAAACTAGGAAGCTGAAATTCTCAGGGAGTGTTCTAAGCGCAAGTACAACTTATAATTATCAAATTCAGCCCCTCAGTATGAGTGGCGATCACGTACGGCCCCGTGGAAATTTTCGGCGCGAAAATCGCTAACACAGGGACCAAGAGAGCTAGGAGGCTGAAATTTTCAGGGAATTTCTCAGCCCATACGACTTAAATTTATCAAACTCAGCCCCCGGGCGTGCGAAATTGTCATGTACGGCCCCGTGAAAATTGCTAACTCAAGAACAAGAAAATTTGGAAAGCTGAAATTTCGACGAAATGTCCCCGTCTAAATACTACGTAGACAATTAGCTTCCCGGACTTCGAGGACCAGTATATCACACATTTTCAGCTGTTGGGTTTCCGAGCGATCTCATTACAGCACGAAATATCGCAAAAACGCATGATCACACGGGCCCGCCCGGTGCGCGTCGCCAATGATTTTTTCTCGGAATTGAAGGGCTCGAAAGGTGGAATTTTGGAATAATATTTCCTATATTATTGCAGACATCAAAGAGATTTGTCAAAGATTTGTATTTTCCACTAGGATATAGTTTGTTCCAGAAGCCGAAGTAAGACAGGCCCATTGTTTTAGTCTTCATTGACCATAAATGACAGGCTAAATTTGAATAGGAAGATGAAACGAGGAAAGCTGAACTGATACGTCATATTATCCACGTACATAAAGTTGGTGCAGTACTTGACCCTAAGACAATGTTATTCCGATTTTAAACGTCTGAAAATTTCGGTTTTTTGGTGCACTCTGGTATTTTTTCTCCCCAAAACACGAAGAGACTTTCACATGTCAGTGTTTCCATACCGCTTTTTGTAGTTCAGTCGTTGACCTGTTCATTTGGATAATTTGTCAATGAAATCGTACTTTGGAAAAACTAAGTTTGGACGTAAGGAATTGTTCTACGGCCTTGTTGATTTTACGTAAATTCGATTAACCCTTTTACAAAAATATGTGAAAAGCGACTCAGCAAGTATGATAAACAAGCAACAGAAGGCATGCGCAATTACCCTCTTTTTATTATGCATTGCTGAACCACACAGTGGTTGCACGATCCAACACGCAACAGTGAAAAGAGGAAATTTGCAAGTGATGTAATGGTAGTTCCAGCTCATTTTCCCGTAATCTTCGACCCTTCATTTGTTACAGGATACTTGCAAAATCTCATCTATCAAACACACATTCCCAGGCCAGCAGTCACTTTATGATTCTAAATTGCAAAAGCTAGTAAAATAGCATATAAAAAACAACATATGCAAGTAAACAGAAACCAAAAAAATTATCCATGAAAATTGTACTCTAAATGCAAGATGCTCCCCATCCATGTATTAAGAACCCAGCCCCTTGATGTACGAGATGCCTAGGTGCGGGCCCATGACATGTTGTGGAGGAGGAACTGCTCTGTTCTGTCCGGTCAGATTCGTTGAATTCTTTGTTATTTGATATGAACTCTCTGATATCCACTGATGCACTTTTAAAGACATTCTTTAGCTCCCAGTATTTTTCTATCGCTTCTTTTGGATTTTCCGCTGATATCAGCACGTTATCGACGTATAAATTCTGCAAGGCTTGTTGCGTAGTTAGAGAGTTGATCTGCTCCAAATGATGGTGTAGCATTGCCATCAACAGGAACGGTGAGGTAATAATTCCGAATAGTACACGGATAAATCGAAACGTGACGATGTTATCCTCTGTTACGGGTTTATTATAATCCCGCACCCATAAAAAACGAGTACAATTTCGATCTTCTTGTTTGAGCTACAGTTGCAAGAACGCTTTTTCACATCGCAAACAATAGCTATTTTCATCACTCTCAACCGAATATTCCTACTAGATCAGGTAGAATAACTGGACCACGGTATAAAACGTCATTAAGACTGCGATCATTGTGCGGAGGCGTCGAAAACTATTCTCAGCTTTGTTGTGGCTTTTTGGAGAGTAATAACTTCCTGGTCAGGAAGATAGTGAATGATGCCTTGTCCGTCCATCTCATTTGTTACTTCAACTATTCCTTTGTTAAACTGATCTTGAAACGTTTGAGCGTACTTCTCGAGTAAAA